GGACGGGTATGGTATTTAGCGATGGTTCCCCGCCCCGAACCGATTACCCGTTAAAAAAAAAACTTTGTTAGACATGTTTACATCTATATTAATGTTTAACGATATTGGTTATAGATAACATTATTCAAAATATAATTAGCTTGGACAAAGTTGATTATAAAAAAATATTGACTCGAATATGGTTTTTAGTAGATGTAGAGTTGGGTCAAGAGGATTAATGAAAAAGGATTTTCTTGGTAAGTTTATTTTTTGGAAAGCTTGAATTATTGTATTTTTTATGGGATGAATTGGACATGTCCACTAGTATAAAATCTGGCAGGTATGATATTTAGAAAATTCTGCTTTTTCATCATACTCTGGAGCTTGTGCAAGGTTTAGTGAGGAGGACATTGATGAAATGGTATATTTTTTTGTTTAAATCTTCAGTTAAGACCATTCTTGATTAGGTAGCATGGTTATATTATTACTTTAATCACATTTCTTATTTATACTATACAGGAATCAATTTTGAGTTTTAACTCTTGACCTATGCTAGTAAGAGTTGTGGGGAAGAATGAAGATTGACATATACTAGTAAGAGTCTTGACCTATGTTAATAATATTGTTTGTTAGATTCGAATTTTGCATTTGGAAGTTGGGATATTGTTTGCATTTTTATTTGGGATATTGTTTGCTAAATTGGCTTAGTATTGTGTTTTTGTTTTTATTGACTTTTTTTTATAATTTTTTTTTTCAATTTGACGGTTGGAGTTTGGACTTATAAAAATAATTTATTTTCGTAGTTATTAATAGAATAGAACCTGACCGACTTACGTGGTTATGGTGCGGTTATGGTATAGCCAAAAATTTGATGGTGCTGTTATGGTTTTGGCCGAATCAACCCCGAACCGAACCTTTGACATCCCAATTTTCACCCCCAATTTACAAAATCACCTCAATCATTACGCCAAATATTACATCAAATGAAAGTGATTCATTTATTTCTTTATTTTTAACTCAATAGTTAATTTATTTCAAAAATTATTTAATTACGAATTAGCAACACAGATGCTAATGCATTCTACAAAAGACAGGTTGTTTTTAATTCAACAGTTAATTTATTTCATAAATTATTTAGCTCCCGTTTGACAATCATATTTGGTTAAAATGAAATTTTGAATTTACGTACAAAATATTCTATTAAGTGAATGTGTGTTTAAAAATTAGTATGGAAAAAAAAGATTTGAAATAATAGTTGTCAAACCGGAGTTAATAACAAATCATACTGCTACTAAATTATTAAATTAAAAATTATATTTTGTTAAATAAAATGTTTCATTTAATAATAAAAAATTATAAAAGCAGCATACTTATAACAATTTGAAAAATAAAGTTGAGGAAACATTACATATATGAGGTGGCTGCAAAATACAATAATAAAATTAAGAATTTAGGTTTATAATATCAAAAATAGGTCTTAATTAAATTCTGTTAATTAAAAAAATTATTAATTAAATACATTAAGGTCACGATATTATACAATTAATGATCACAGTTACGTACTAGTCACAATTATAAACGTCATAGTCAAAAAACAAGAATTTTATGGATCACAACTTATCTCTTGATCACAAATTATCAAATTTAATGGGTCGTGTATTATTTTTCGATCGCAAATTACAAGCTTTATAGGTTAGAAATTATCAAATTAATAGGTCAAGTATTTTTTTTTTTTTTTTAATCACAAATCACAAATTTTTTGGGTCACAAATTATCAAATTAATAGATCACGTATTATTTTTCGACCACAAATAACAAATTTTATAAGTTACAACTTATTTCACAGTTATAAATTATCAAAATAATTGGTCACAGTTATAGCTCGATCGCAAATTAATAAATTAATTGATCACAAATTAACAAATTGTGAGCCACATTTATCAATTTAGTCGAAATTTCACATTTTTTAAAGTCTCGTATTATTTATTGGTCACAAATTATATATTACATCGGTCACGTATCATTTATTGGTCACGGATTAGCCAATTTATTGATCACAAACACTCTTCTATTGTGCGCTTATAGCGGTTGCGGTGGGAGAGTATGCCGACGTTGGTGGGAGGTTAAGAGAAAGAAGAGTGGTGGGAGAGATATAGAGAGAAGGGAGAGGAGAAATTGAGCAGGGTTTGTGAGTGAAATTTTATGGGGTGGATGGAGGTATAGTCAATATATATATTGATTTAATTTTATAACATTATTATTAATATTAAAATATAGAATTATTACCAGATTTTGTATAAACAAAATTTAAACTTGATTTTTTAAGTTGAAATTTTAAAAATCCGTCTCCATATAATTTCCACTAAAGTTAAATCGCTAATAGCCTGCTTGACAACCATTCTTTTAAAAGAATGAATTTTTGAATAGTAAATTTTTTAAAAATGTGTGACTTAAAGTAAAAAAAAAATTTAGATGTGCGTGAAAAATATTTTATTGCGAAAATGTATAGTTGAAAATGAATATTGAAAAAATAAGTTTTAAAATAATGATTGTAAAACAGAAATCGTTAAGCCCCCTGTTTGATAGAGATTAAAATCAATTTTTTTAAAAATTATCCGTTGATAAATGTGTGGTTGAAAAGTTATGGATTCATGAATATGTGGTTAAAATTAATATATTGAATTTGATTTAAATACCAAACAAGGACTAAAGAATAAATTTTTTTTTTTTTTTTAAGAATGCATTTTAGAATAGTGTTATGATAGATAATGTGTGATTAAAAAATAAAGAAAGTATTTAGATTTTTAAATAATATTATTTTATTAAAGCATGTGTGATTGTAATGTGATCAAATCACCGTTTAAAAATGTATCGTGATAAATAAATAAATAAATAAAACTCAAACGATCGCTTTAATTCTAACATAATTCTAAATGGGACGTTGACCCCGGTGTCCGTTAATGCCCGCAAGAACTTTTGATTCACGAAAGTATGTAGCTTTATGGACACGTAACGTGACCTTTTAAGAACAGCCACGTGGCAGTCAAGCCAATATTTACACAGGTAACATGTATGAATACGCGTGAACGACTCGCCTTCCTTGCTACCAACGAAATGATTATTTTATTGTTAATTTTTTATGATGTTTCAACAAATTAATTACAATTTTATATCAAAAACAATTTTTTTATAAATGAAATATTTTTTGTCCATGAACCACATTAAAATTTTCATTTTCATTTTTTTCAAACTCATTTTTAATTACAAATTCTTCAATAAATAATATTTTCCATCACATCAATAACTTTTTCTTCTTTTTCAACAACACATTACACATTCTCTATTAATCTACTATTCCAAAATACATTCTTTCAAAATAATGTGGCTGAAGCACCCCCTTTATATAAAAATAATAATATCATTTGGATTTAGAGACACCTGATATTTATGATCTGTTAGCATAGCTATTGTTTTTTTTTCTTGTAGAATAACTTTCAGGGTAGTTTGATTGCACATTTAGAATTTGGATGGAAAGAAAATGATTGGATTGTCTAGAATTTATTTTACTGAGAATTGTAATTAGTTGTGTTTGTTTTGTATAATTTTTCATCTGAAAAATGTTGAAAGTTTGGTGTACGTTTGGCTTCGTTTTTTATGAAAATTGTTTATTAAAGTGATAATTTTTTTACCATTGAGTCTAGAATTTGTTCCAATTGTGAAAAAAAATTACCATACCGAATACCACCTGCTTGTTTTTGTTTTACATGGAGATTGTCAATAAAAGTGATAATTTTTTTTTAATCATTGTATCTAGAATTTTTTCTCAAAAAAAAAAAAAAAGAAAAAAGCAACCTAGAAAACCAATTTCTACCCAATTTCCACAAAACAAAGGAATGTGGAACGTGTGAGACCAAAGCAAGAAAATGAATTCTATGAAAAAAAAAAGAATCAAACAAGCTAAAAGTGAAAAATTGAATTTTCCATGGAAAATATTAGCCAATCTTAGAGAAAGTTACATTAATTTTAATTTCTTAAAAGAATACCCCTATTCCAAAAGTGATTTTATTGGAATTCACATTGAATCAGCCTTCCCTAAAAGTTCATTTGATTAAAATAAATACTTTCATAAAATTGGTCAAACGAATCCAAAAACAATTTTTGAATCTTAAAAGACTCCTTTTGACTTTTTGAAAGTCATGCCAAAGCATGGCCTCATCATATTGACGTGGTTCTAATAATACTTGAATTTTGTAAATGCTAATCAAAATAAATAATCGAATATTTATTTAATAGAGTAATGTTATTTGTATATTATAATTTACATATTGATGTGTAAAATGATAACACGGAAGAGAGAGAAAGAGAAAAAAAGGTCCATTCAAATCATCATTTTTTAAATCAATCAGTAAAACACGATTTACAAATAGCATTATTCTTATTTCTAATTATTTTTTATTATAGACAATGAAAGTTGAGTGAAAGAAAATGATCTCTTCAAATAGAAAAAAGATTCCCAAAAACGGAAGGATAGCTATTTGCTCAAAAAAGAGACATATTTTTAAGAGCAATAAAACGAAAATAAAATGCTAAACAGATAAATATTTGGCAGCAAAAATGTAAGATACTTTTCGTTCGAGAAAAATAAGGATTTCGACAAAAATATAGTCATCAAGGTGGAGAGAGAGAGGAAAGAAGGGTGGGGTGGTTGGTAGCGTAGGGTAGGGTAGGGTAGCGTAGCGTAGCGTAGCGGTTGTATGAAGAAGTTTGGTCATCCGTTTGGTTTAAAATGAAGAACGAATCTAACTCTCCCCCTATAACCCATTATCGGTTTCTCCCTAGTGTTGGTTCATTTATTAAAAAACAACGCTCAAAATTCAAAGACTTCACGTAGCTTCCTCTCTCTCTCCTCCATAGCTATACATGTATATGTATATAGATAATAACAGAATCGTATAACATAATAAAAAGAAGGAATTTGAATTATTGAAGGGACATTAAAGGGTTTTTTTTTTTTTTTTCCTATGGATGCATTTTGTTTGAAGCCAGGGATCCATGGAATGACGTTGCCAATCTCCGTTGCCGGAAATGGGGTGCTAGAAGTCCGTACAATCCATTCTGCGCAAATTAGTGCTGCGGCGGCGACGGGGCGGTCATTGGCGACGGTAAAATCTTCGTCGCCGGATAATCCTTCTGTTTCCTCGGCGTCGGAAAGGAACTCACCGTGGGGTTTCACTTTCCGGCAGCCACTCAGATCCTCGGGAGGTAAGTACGAACCTGCCGTCGCTGTGGACGACGCCGTTTGGGTGGACGGAGAAGTTGATGAAGAAGAGAAGCAACCTGAAGGACCGAGTGGGAATTGGGTTTTCAAAATTTTGCATGTAGGTTCTCTGTGGAAAGGAGGAGAAGAAGAAAATGGTGGGATTTTTGAGGAATTGGAGGGTAAAATGAAAGAAGAGGATAAAAACGGGGGTCCAATTGCAAATAATAATAATGATGAAGAAAAAATGAAATGTTGTGAAGGGTATGAAGAATGTGATGTGTGTGAAATTGATGATGATGAAAATATTGAATATGATAAAGAATCATTTTCAAAGCTGCTTAAGAAGTTGCCATTGGCAGAAGCTAGATTATATGCTCATATGTCTTATTTGGGAAAGTTAGCTTATTCCATTCCCAAAATCAAGGTATGCTTGAACTCTTTTTTTCCCCTCTCAATTTCATTTGCATTTTCATCTGTCTTCAATTTGATTGCCCGGAAGCAAGAATTCTTTCGATGTATGATCAATTTGTACATTTGTATTGTCTCCATATATACAATCTTGCCTGGTAAAAAAATGAGTCTCTCTACTCAGACGCCAGAATTGTCCTTACGTGTCCAGAGGCAAATTTTGGGTAGGATTTTGGTAGCTCTGGATTTATGCAGGTTATCTATGATATCTCTTTTAGGATGTGATTCAAACTACAAACGAGCGCACACCTTAACTATCCAAGGCTTAGCCTTGAGGCGTAAGTCTATGTAATTTCAGGTAAACCTCAGTAAATTGAGCCATAAACCTTGAAAATAGCATTTAAGGCGTAAGTTTCAAGGTGTTTAATGAAAAGCCTCAGGTAGGCCTCAAGGCGTAATCCTCATACAGCTTTTTAGAACAATGGGTTCAGTTTTGTTAGTTGTGCTGTCGATTTAGGAGCTCTATTAGGTTGAGTAGTTATGCATATTGCTGACAATTTGATGGTTCTTCTATTTTTCTTATGGTCATACAGTCTGGGAATCTCCTTGGAAACCATGGACGCTTTGTGACCTCATCATTGGAGAAGAAAGAACAGGCGTTGAAGGCCCATGAGGAGATGGCATCGACTGAAAAGCCGCACCAAGATGAAAATACAGCAGCTGAAGAAGCTCGGGATGCAGAATGCAAAGAGGAGAAGACTGATGGAAATGGGATAAGCACATCTGCTTATCAAATTGCTGCTTCTGCTGCTTCATATTTACAATCTCATACAAAAAGCATTCTTCACCTCAAATCCTCGAAATTCATGGGAAACGAAAACTTGCGCGAAGAAACCGGTGAAATCAAGAACAATGTCGAGATGATAAACCAGGATGTAGTTTCATTAATGGCAACCACTGATTCGGTTACAGCAGTGGTTGCTGCAAAGGAGGAAGTAAAGCAGGCTGTTGCAGATGATCTGAATTCGACTCACTCATCACCGTGTGAGTGGTTCGTATGTGATGATGATCAGAGTGCCACAAGATTCTTTGTCATTCAGGTAGGATAGGCAGATCTTTTTCAAGTATTGCTTCTTTGTAGTGTATTAGATTATATTCACGATGTGGCTGTGAGGTAAACATGTTGAGTGCCTGAGGCATAAGACCATGTTTGGATAATCTTAAAAAGTGTACTTACAAGAAAATAAGCAAGTAATGAAATAAATTAATGTTCTGCTCGATTAAGTTGGAAAGAAGTAAGTTACTTTGACTGTAAGGTTCCATGGAGTAAGTAGCTTTTTTAATGTGAAAGACAAGTTTAACATATTCAAACATGTTAGCGAAACATGCTCTTAATCATCTTATTTCTGTTCCAATGTGGATGAGACTGTGAGTTTTAGTCATTTTAATAGCTGATTTTATGACAATGATGATCAACTTGGGATAAGTTAATCAATGGCTAATTGTAATTTTCATGCTGTGATTTATGTGGCAGTTTATATAAGTTGGATTATTTTTAACACTAAACATTTCCAAATGTCTATTATTGGCAGGGATCCGAGTCACTGGCATCCTGGCAAGCCAATCTACTCTTTGAGCCAATTCAGTTTGAGGTAAATTAGTCAGATACTTTTTCAAGCTTGTGAACCATTGTTGAAGATATCAGTGAAAAAGTGCATTTATCTTTCTGAAGTTTCTTTCTGGAAAACCACGGATTCCTTGCGGAAGATCATTTTTGTAAGCACTATTGATACATTTTTCCCCATTTCAGGGTCTGGATGTGCTTGTGCATAGAGGAATTTACGAGGCTGCAAAGGGGATTTACAAACAGATTTTACCCGAAGTTCACGCACACCTAAAATCACATGGAGAGCGTGCCAGATTTCGTTTCACTGGACACTCTCTTGGGGGAAGTCTATCTTTGCTTATAAATCTCATGTTGCTAATAAAGGGTGAAGCACCTGTTTCTTCATTGCTTCCTGTCATAACATTTGGTGCACCATCAATTATGTGCGGAGGGGATCGTCTCCTGTGCAGATTAGGACTGCCTCGAAGTCATGTACAGGCAATCACAATGCATAGAGACATCGTTCCCCGAGCATTCTCTTGCAACTATCCGAATCACGTAATTGAGTTTCTTAAGGCAGTAAATGGGAACTTCAGGAATCATCCATGTCTTAATAAACAGGTAACATGCTAATTCTATTGTGAGCCGGAGTCCAAAGTCAATATTTTGATATTTGCTGAGTTTCTTTTGAAAATCTTTTCAGATCTAAAAATACATGTACTTTCATTTTGACAGAAGCTGCTATACGATCCAATGGGAGAGTTTATAATTCTTCAGCCAGAAGAGAAATTTTCTCCAAACCACCACCTTCTTCCCTCAGGCAGTGGTATTTACTTATTGAGCTGTCCGGTGACAGATGCCAGCAAGGCAGCCAAGCAAATCCAGGTTGCACGGGCAGCCTTTTTGAACTCACCACACCCACTTGAGATATTGAGTGACCGCTCTGCATATGGTTCTGAAGGGACCATTATGAGAGATCATGACATGAACACGTACTTGAAATCTCTTAGGAATGTTATCCGTCGTGATCTCAACCGCATTAGAAAATCTAGGCGAGAACACCGGCGTAAAGTTTGGTGGCCACTCGTGACTCCACGAGGATTTAATGCTGGCATCCTTTTGAGCAGGCCGATTACATCGGGTAACACGGGTCAAGGTCAATTTCATCTCTCTGGAATCTTACATATCGGTAAAGAGTCTTTCAAACGGTTTAGTAGGTTCGTTGAATCACAGCACATGCATTTGTTTGTGGTGGTCTGGTTCCCTGCAAGGTTGTTAATATTGGAACCATGCAACTTGATCAATTTTCATTGATCAGGCAAGTCGTAGAACCCCACATCGTCCAAAGAAGGAAAGCTTGTGCCTATACACGGAAGACTAGCGTGAAAACTACTGTTGACGCTTCTTTTTTCTTTTTTTTTCTTTTTTCCACACGGAAACGAAACAAGGGTGGTTGTTACAAGGTCCAAAACCTACCAATATCGAGTAGGTTTGATTGGTCATTGCAAAATGGTATTAGTACACCAGGTAGTGTGCTAGTGAGGACACTGGGCTCCTAGGGGGCTGGGTCAATATCAGGTAGGTTTGGCCGGTCCCTACACAGGTAGGGAAAATGGTGCATGGTAGCGCTTGGTTTATAGATCTAGACGAATGTGTTTATGTTACGAGTAGACTATTCTTTATTCATTTGTATATAGAAGCTAGCAACCCACTTTCCCTTGTTTTGTAGATGGGAAAATTGGAAAGTTGCGTGAAGAGAAAACATAGTTCACATAAATGAGAAATTTGATTTACATTGTGATAGTTTCATCAAAAAATCATCCTATATCAACGTTTCTTGGTGATCGTTTTGCGAAAAATCATGTATATTGACATTTCTGTGTTCTATCATCTATGGATCCAGACAAAAAGTGCATAGCTGGTAATTTTTGTATTCATTGCGAAATGCCAACTACTTCTTGTGTTGCATACGAACACATGAAATGTAAATGTGAACGTAGTTCTCTTTAGATACCGAGCATTTGAAGAGGTTGAAACTTGAAAGCAATATCTTCCGTAATTCGAATGAACATGATATTATTCTCATTGGCACCATCTGTGTTTCTTTGTTACCTTTTCAAATCTCTATCTGTACAGCAATTATTAATCTTTGTACAGAAGAAAACAAAATTGCAGCTAACATCAGTTAATACCAACCACATATGTGGCAAGAGTTTTCGTTTTCATACCATGGCTTTTATGGATAAAATGTCTATTGAGAGCAAGTATAACAAGAAATCCAAAGCAAACTTGATTAGCATAAATTGTAATATTTTCAGATAATATAAGAGATTCCATGTTTGGAATGATTTTAATTGAATATTATTACTCAATACCTCCACAAGACCAATGTCAATATCAATACGTAACTTGTGGAAGCAAGCACAATCGGCATCAAAGAAAGCTAAAGGATTCAGAGTCCATTTCCATTTTGACTCGCAGCGGCAGCCTAATACGTCTTCTCAATAGAAAAGGGCAAATTGAAAATAGCAACTTTTTATTCTAACATATCTTGTTCTTTCATACGTAACTTGTACGTCCAAGAAAGCTAAGGGATTCAGAGTCCGTATTCATTTCGACACATAATGACAGCCAGAAACGTCCACCCGAGAGAAATGGTATATTTGATTCGATCTACAGATCGATTTTACCTGCTAAATACCAAGAATGCATGGCAAGGCTACCGAATGACATGATATTAGAAAGAGATGATAGTCCGTGAATCATTCCAAATTTCTTGTTCATGGCAGCAAGCTTTGGATTTTTTTTCGCAACTTCTTGGTTCTTTGTCGACCCAACTTCTTCCCCAATATTCGCTTCTCTTTCTATCTTGTGCCTTTGTTTCATCATCTGCTTCAGATCAAGCAATATCATGTGGTGTGTTAAAAGATATCTCATCATTTTAAGAGATAATTCTAGCAGTGTTCAGCACAAATCCAAAAAAGTTGTCATATAATGCAAACAGACTACTCCCCAACTCAAGCCAAATCTACTAAAAGCTTTCTCAAGTCAAATGTACACCTTTCAATGTCAAATTGACAACTTCTACGTCAAATATACACCCTTTAAGATATCATTAATTCTCTAATAAGAAAGAGCGTAAGAGTGGATTATGGGTTTAGAGCAAAGCCAACTGCTAATTCCTTCATCCACTTCTGTGGTCAGGAGATAATAGAGTTCAGAAAGTGAAACCATAACATATAGCGCATTTTTGCATAAACTACCCCTTCTAGAGATCAAAAAAGCAGTAACAATCAAATGATTCATACTTTTTCTATATTTCTGATTACCAACATATCGTCACAGTATATGAAAGCTTGTTTGGGAGAGATTTTCCAAGTGAAAAATTATTTTTTGGAGAATGTGGTTATATAGTAAGGAAAAGTTATTGGTCCCATAGATAATCTTTCCCAAAGCTCTCATTTGTAAACTGGTACTTAAATCACTCTGAACATAAATAAGATGAGCACTGCAATATTTGTAGAAGCGAGAACTTGAGTTCGAAATAACTAAAGGAGATTTTAGTAGAAAGAATAGAAGTTAAAATCTTCTTATTGGTTTGTTGGGTCCTAATACGTACTACATGAACTTACACCTAAAATATTATCGTGTAATTGTCTTTTCCCATTTACTGTCTTGACCACGGTGAAATCAAGATTTTAGAACGAAATCAAGGTAAAATATGTAGCATTTCGAGTGAGTATATAGTTCATTACATCACAATATTGCTGATCTAACATCTACCATATAATCTTCAATAGTAATGCAGTTAAGTCAGTATAACATCACCACAATTGAAAGAACCGTTGGGACATTCAGTGGTGTATAATAATCATCTTTCTGAAATAATTTGGACTAGAAGTTGTTAAACTTGACATCGATATAGGAAAAATTAGGAAATACCTCGATCGTCATGGGTGTAAAGACTACAAGATTGCAGAGATTGAAAGCAAAGGCAGCCATGAGGAAGCCGAGCTGGTATTTCTCAGCAGCTGTTGAAGACTTCCATGGATGCAGGTATCCAAAAGCTGCAACAGCCACTGCACAACAAACTCCCACCATTGAAAAGTATGCCGGAAACATCTTGCTCTGCAAATTCCCAAATTGATGCCTTGGCAAATTCCTGTGCAACAGTAATTTGATATGCCGTTTTAGCAATTACCAATATCTTCTTACGAAATTAAAAACTCGTGCTCAAGTTTCTAGACATATTGACACTATTTTCGCAGAGGAAACCCTAGTTTCGATTTTTAATTAAGAAAGTGAAATTAGGGTAGATAGATTACTTGAACATGATAATGCCTCCGATGAAGGTGACCCAGAGAGCGGCGCCCCACGCGGTGGAGAAGCAGAGCAAGTGAGCCAACTTCAATAGAGTGATGACTTTTGGAGAATGCTGATCCTCAGATTCCGATCCCAATTTCTCCGGCAAAAAAATCACACCGATTGCCAAGAATGTCGCTGCCGCTAAAAATCTACTCATCCAACCCATTTCTTCTGATTTTTTCCTAATTCAATCTCTCTGAAATTTAGGGTTCAGCTTAAAGAAATATATAGTAGTTGGATTTCTTGACCAGTAACTGGTTTGAAATTGTACCAATGCTTTGAATGTTTACTGAAATTGAAGAAAATGGAAATCAAAGGCACATGCCAATGTGTATCCAAATTTTTCTTCCCTCTTTTCAAGAATCTTATTACGGTCATTTGATAATATTATTATAACTTGAAAGATTGTTTTTCCGCCAACTGATTTTTACTTTTCAAATAAAAAAAAGAAAAATGTTACTTGTACATCACACATTGTACATAAGGAGATACATCACTCTCACATGGGGTGTGAGACCCATTACATAAATTATTTTTTAATCTAAGCGGGTCCCACCCCCATGTGAGGGAGGTGTACACCCCGATGTACAATGTGTGTACAATGTGATGTACAAGTAGCAACACCGTAAAAAAAAAGGGGGTTGAACCTCAACCTTGAGGGTTCCACCCCTCCTCTAGAGCATTATAAAGGAGGTAAATTGTGAAATGTATATCAGCAAATCAGGATACAAGAACTGTTATATTGGTACCCATAAAGAGTCTAATTTCATACATTGTAAGAGGCAGGAATCAAACTCTCACACTATGACTGACAGCTCAATTGAGACTACCTCACTCTTTTTCTTTGCACCACTGAACTATGCCTCGGAGGGCCGATTTTTACTTTTCTTCAGAGATGTGATGCATACGAGGACACACTTTATTCATTAAACTTCAAAATATTTTCAATTGTGATTAAACTTTATCCCGTGCGGGAGAGCTTTTATAATTCAAGAAATTTGCTTTGTTGATCGTTACTTTCCAGCATCAAGATCCCTCATAGAGATAGAAAGTCAAAGAAATACGGCTACCTCATCTTCCAACGCTCTGAAAAACAATTAAAATTGGCTGAAAATGAACTCCAGACATAATCTTAAAATATTGTGTTCCATCACTTGTTCATCACGTTTCAGTAATTATTGAAATTTTAAAATACTTTCGAGTGATCGCTAAAATTTAACATGTTACACTACATTCACTTATTGTGTTTTATTAGTCTCTGAACTTACACATCCACATTTACTTAGGGTGCGTTTGATTGCAATGATGGAAAATTGGTGGAAAGAAAATATTTTATAGGGAAAAGATTTGTTTAGAAAATATTTTGCAGGGAAAATGATTTCAAGTGTGTTTGATTGCTATAATTTTCCACCCGAAAATTTTTTAAATTTTGTGTTCGTTTGATTTTGTTTTACATGGAAATTGTCCATTAAAGTGATAATTTTTTCCACAATTGATTATAAAATTTGTTTCCATTGCCAGAAAGTAAAAAAAAAAAATTTGTTTCCTAAAAAATCATTTTTTTTTATCAAAATTTAGTGTTCATTTGACCTTTGTTTGCTTCAAAATTGTCCATGAAAGTGAAATTTTTTTTTACATTTGGTTATGAAATTTGTTTCTATTGCCAAAAAAAAACAAAAAAAAATTGCAGACAGAACCCAAAATTAATTTTCCCACCTAAAAGGTGGGAAAATCATTTCCTCCCACGCAAGGAAGATGGCGCGTAGAGGGAAAAAAAAAGCAAAATTTTCCATGTCAAATTATGGTCATCAAACACTACTAAACATGAAAAGTTGGAAAATATTTTCTTTTTCCACCCATTTTCCATGCTATCAAACATGGCCTTATTGTAAAAGGTTTTCATGGACAAATGTGCCTTACAAATTCGAATCACTTGAATAGATGGGCCATTCTTGTTGAGGAACCAACAGGTCCTCGAGATAGTAGTAGAGGAAGAAGAAAAGCTTAGAGAAAGTGTAACTTTTATTTATTTGAATGAAGAAAAATTCATTATGATTACAGAAGACTTCTGGCTATATTTATAAGATGACTCAACAACAAATTTAATTGATTAATGAACTGAATAACAGAAAATAACGAATTCCTAATTCAATTAACTCTTTAACTGATTCTTCTTCCCAGCTGGCTTTTCTTCTATTTTTGCTTTTTCTTCTTTTCTTTTTAATTCCATATTGTCAATGTATGATGCAATACTCCAACACCCCTCCTCAAGATGAACATGTATGTTAAGAAGGTTCATCTTGAGAAGGATGTGATGGAAAGATAGGCAGCCGAAAGGCTTTGTGAAGATATCCGCGAGCTGAAGTCAGGATGGGATGTGGAAAAGTTTGAGAACATTCTGTTGTAACTTTTCGCAAACAAGGTGACAGTCGATTTGAATGTGTTTCGTTCTTTCGTGCTGAACGGGATTGGTAGCTATTGAGAATGCTGATTTGCTGTCGGTATAGAGAAAACTGGGTTGTGGATGAGCAATGTGCAGATCTTGCAAGGCGTAAAGGAGCCATTGAATTTCACAAATAGTTGTCGCAAGTGCCTGATACTCCGCCTCTGTTGATGAACGACTGATGGTGATCTGTTTCTTTGATTTCCATGAAATCAGTGAGCGACCAAGAAATATCACAAAACCAGTATCGACATAACCCGCCTAATCACTATCGAAGAAAGCCTTCAATTACAAATCTGAGGAAGATGGGAAGAAGAGTTCTTGACCTGGTGTAGCTTTTAGATATCTCAATACTCGAAGGCAGCTTTATGATGAGTAACGGCAGGGGTAGCAAGAAATTGACTAAGCACCTGGACAGAATAGGCTAAGTCGGGCCTTGTGATAGTTAAGTACAATAATCTACCAACAAGTCTTCGATAACCAGAAGGATCATCATACAATTCTGTGTCATGGGCAGATAACTTGAGATTGGATTCCATGGGAAAAGTAGCTGGCTTTGAGCCAGCTAAACCACTGTCCTGGAGGATATCAAGGGCATATTTCCGCTTGCATAAGGAGATACCAGATTTGGACCGTGCAACCTCCAAACCAAGAAAGTATTTCAGCTGCCCTGAGTCTTTAATGGTGAATTTGTCGTGTAAAAAAGTTTTCAAACTCTGAATTTCCAGGATGCAGTCACTTGCCAATAGGACATCATCCACATAGATTAGCAAAGCAATAAAGGAGTGGTCAGTTTTCTTGATGAATAGGGAGCAATCAGAGGCGCCTTGGACAAAGCCATAGTGAAGGAGGGCACTAGATAGCTTAGCAAACCACTGACTGGAAGCCTGCTTTAGACCATATAAACTCTTCAGAAGTTTACAAACCATCCTGTCACCTGTTGCGCCAAACCAGGAGGTAACTCCATGTAGACCTCTTCATGTAAATCTCCGTGCAAGAATGCATTATTGACGTCTAGCTGATGGAGATGCCAATGACAAGTTGCAGCCACAGCAAGTAAAAGGCGAATGGAGGTGATTTTTGCCACAAGTGAGAAAGTATCAAAGAAGTCCAAACCCTCTTGTTGAGTATAGCCCTTCGCCACTAGCCGAGCTTTATGTCTATCAATCGATCCATCAGCCCTATATTTAATCTTGAAGACCCATTTACAACCAATGGTCTTTTTGTTGGCAGGAAGGGGGACAAGATCCCAAGTTTTATTTAACTCCAGAGCAAGAATTTCACTTTTCATGGCAACTTGCCACTCAGGCAGTTGAGATGCTTGTTTAAATGACTTAGGTTCAGAAGAATTAGAAATGGATGCCAAAAAGGTTTGATGGGATGCAGATAACCTGGAGGGTGAAATAAAATGATGAATAGGATAAAGAGTACCTGGGATGGAAGGACAACCAGATGAGTCAGAGACTGGAGGTGCAAATTGAGAAGAAGTGGCAGTACCACAATAGTAGTCCTGCAGATAACCTGGGGTATGTTTGATTCTGCTAGACTTTCTGAGAGACTCAGAAATCTGAGATTGTGATTCACTAGTGTGTAAAGGGGAATTAGGGAAAATCTGAGCAGTATGTGGTGCAGGTCCAAGAGGAGAAGGAGGGGAATTAGGGGATGATGAGGAGGATGGGATGTGATCCAGAGGAAAGTGAGGAGGACTGGAAGAATCTGGGAAATATTCTGAGGAGGGAAAAAGAAAAGAGTGAGGTTCAGAAGTCACAGGAAGCACTCTAAATGGAAAAATAGTTTCATAAAAAATAACATTTCTAGAAACTAGGATTCTATTGGTACTTAAGTCCAAAAGTTTGTATCCTTTGATATCAGGAGGATACCCTAAGAAAATGCACTTGATTTCTCTAGGATCGAACTTTTGTCTATGTGCTGTCAATGTGGAAGTAAAACAGAGGCAACCAAACACTTTGAGATGTGAAAGGTAGGGTAGTTTGTCAAAAAGCATTTCAAATGGGGTCTTATTTTGGAGGAGAGTGATAGGAATTCCGTTAATAATGTGGGATGCAGTGAGAACACAATCACTCCAAAAACGAAGGGGCAGATTGGCTTGGAACATCAGGGCCCTAGCTGTACTTAACAGGTGCTGGTGTTTCTTCTCTACAACTCCATTTTGTTGGGGAGTTTCGACACAAATTTTCTGATGGATGATGCCATGTTCATTGTAAAATTCTGTAAGAAAAAATTCCGGGCCATTATCAATCCTTATGACTTTGACAGAGGAAGAGTCTGGTTTTCCACCATTTTACAAAAAAAATTGATAGAGGATGGTACATCGGATTTTGCTTTCATCATGTATACCTACGTACATCGTGTAAAATCATCTACAATTGTCAACAAATATTTAAAACCAGAATAAGAGATGGTACCAAAAGGACCCCAAATGTCACAATGGATCAACTCAAATTTTTTATTTGAATTACTTTGCGATACAGAGAAAGGGATTTTCCTTTGCTTTGCTAAGGGACATTTATCACAAACGCTTGTACAGTCAAGAGTAATGGAAGGTTCAATGTGTTTGAGGGAAGCCAATTTGGAATTGGATACATGTCCAAACCTATAATGCCAGATATCTGATTTTTTTTTTTGTGCAAAGGCTGAAACAGAAAATGCAAAGTTAAAAGAATAAGGCTGAGTCTCTGATGGTTGAGTTTTTTATGAAGTCC